ACTCTCCAGAAACGTTAAAAATCTTGAAAGTTAAAGAAGGTCCAACAAAGAAGAGTGGACTTTTCATCATTTAAATGAAGGTAGTTTTCTGTTCAATTGTAAAACAAAATACTCTATAAATCAAACTTAAACTGCGCATGCAGAAAAGAAAGGTGTATAAATAAGCTGATTTCTGAAATAGGAAATGGGTTCAGAAATTTATTGAAATACTCTTTATACATGTACGTGTAAGATAGATAAATGTCTTGAATATAGAGTGAATTTTATATTCGTCATATTATTCGTCATTGTATCTATAACTTCCGTGTTATTATACATATATTGAAATAATCTTTATCTTCTCATGTAAACAGGAAGAAATCAGTGCGGTATTACTACGCCGTCAATTAAGTTTTAGAAATGATAGTTAAATTGTTTGCATCCATTCTCATATGGAATATAATTCATCAAGGTAATTAAACTGGATTAGATAACTTATATCATATCATAATTAAGTTTAAATTGAACAAACGTTAACTTTTATTTTACTATTTAAATAAGTAGATCTGTACTCTTAAAGCAGCATTCATGTCCGAAGATTACAAAACAATTTACCGATATATTTAATTTAATATTTGAAAATTCCACTTTAAATATAAAAAATGTAGCGTTTGATAAAGTAATAACTTATAACATTTTTTTTGTTTATACTTGAGTAAGTTGCTTTAAAATCATTCATGTGTTCAATTTTGATTAAATTGTATACTCTACCTATCTTGATATACAATTTTCTTTGTTTACTTTTTTTCTAAGTTTGTTCAAGATGCAGTTTTACTGCAATAAATAATATATGTTACATGTGTCACTCACGACTTTTTTCTAAATGAATCAAAAGTATCTCATAATAGCACAAAAATACTTCGTCAGTAACGTAAAAATTATGTTATATGGCGATATATAATACATATGTTTTTATTGTGAAGAAATGCGATAAAAATTGGACACTACGATTATGGTGATATATTCAACACTTAACAAATCCTTGAACATTATTTGTTTTAAAGATACTTTGTCACTCCCAGGTGATAAACGATATTGTTAGTTTTGATCAGCATTTTACTTCAAGATAGTCTAATCATATGTATTAAGATGTTGCTAACAGATTTTGAGCCTAGTCTGTATACATACATATTTGTTTCTTTTTACATTTACTCTCTTGGTAACGTTTTAATTGTCTATGATTGTAGGTACATCAAGATATGTTCTACCAGATTTTAGAATACCGTGGTTACAAGCTGCTGAAATCGGGACAAAAACATTTGCTATTCCAGATATTTCTTCTTTACATAGGTATATAAAGCTACTTAAAAACGAAGAAGAAGTCTGGGTAGGATATTTTCAAAAGCATATTGCCTTTGTTCTTTAATGTAAAGAATTTTGGCAACACAGTTTGCAGTGACAACATCTTTGTCTTTTTCAAAAGACCGTTTAATGTGCGATGACATGGCCATGTCCAACGAGTATGATTTCGCAAATACAGCAGCAATAATTTTTTTGTAGAGAAAAGATATAATTTATGGGGTCCAACAGACGTTTAATTAGGTACAACATAAGGACTACTTCATGACTGTTGATATTACAACAAATTGCAACATCACATCTCAGCTGATGTGTCAGATGTTCCAAATTTCTTTCAATATTAAATTTGCAAAATTTTTGAGCAACCAACAACGATAAAAAGATATTTAAATTGCTTCAATTTTATTATATTCGTATATTTTTTCTACATTTTCACATGCATTTATCTAACAGTGTATTTGCCTGAGTAGTTTACCTAGGAGTGGCATAAACCAGCCTGGTTGTGACTTTCAAAAAACCGACTGGGTAGATGGAGATGGGGATAAGTTTATGGCTTTATACGAGAAAAAGGCTACTAAATTTCTAGTAAACTGTTTTTTTTTACTTAATAATCGATATCTATTAAACAATCTTTTTTTCAATCAAATATTATGACATTGTACAGTCCAGTACATGTATATGTTTCAACATATGATATATATGAACGGTACTTTATTAATGAGAATTGAACACTGGGTTATCGAATTAATGATCAATCAATCAAGATTTTTTTTTGTCAACACAACAGTTACAGTCACATAACATAACGTGACATAACCACATTATGGTCCGACAGAATGACAAAATGTATATAAACAGTTATAACGTCACTCTGTTTAACACGGTCAGAAATATCAGACCAAACGAGAATAAAACATTCATCAGAGATATAGAGGGTAACTTTACACAAGTGATACTATTACAGCACCTGACTGGAAGTATCTGATATCTGACAATCGTAGATACACAATTATAAAAATATGTTTAAATATATGTCTGACTAGGCATTTTAACCCATTTGCGCCTGTTGTCTACTTTTGTAGACACTAGCAGTTATCAGTACACTAGGACCTCATTATGAGCGCACATTTGTTTATCATTGTTATTCTATACTTGTTGTCATGATAAGCGTTAATTGGACTATTTTGCTAGACAAAATGCAGACCACTACGTTATTTGCAGTGTGTTTTCAACAAGAATGTGATAAAAATTGCCTTGAAAATATTATTGAAAATGGCTAGCAGAAACAGGTATGTAAAACTTTATATTGTTTTATTTTATATCATAAAGTATGATTGTTTTATATTGTATAATTATATTTCTGCTCAATTCCTGTTTTATAATTCAGAAATATGTATAAAATGTGTTATGACAGTCAATTTAGATTTTGTCTACAAAAGTAGACAATAGGATCAAATGGGTACGTTTTATCATTATGAAAATATTTTGTTGTTTACAGGAGAAACACAGTAAATGAAATCATATCAATGCTTGAGGATGAAGGTAACTTTGAAAGGGCAGATATACATGTTCAACCACCTCCTGTAGATGAACTGACAGATGAAGATAGTGCAAGTGAAGATGAAGAAGTAGGTTACAACAACCTCAGTGGACGTCAGTTAGACCAACAAGCAACAGCGACAGTTATTCGCCTAGATGGACGTCATGTTGTTGATTCAGCATCAGACTCCGATCTAGTTAGTAATAAATAAATAAAATAAATAAATAAAATAAATAAATAATAAATAGATAAATAAATAAATACGAAGCAAGTAAGTAAATAATGTACAGTAAATCCAGCTGAGAATAAGATTTTTTATATTTATCATATTTTATTTTTCAGGAAACTGACCATTCTTCAGATTCTTCTGATACAGATGAATACGAAGTGCCTGCAAATATTGCAAAAAAGACCTCAAGTAAGAATTGCACTACGGGATCCAGCTCCGCGTCCCAAACGACCTGCACCAGTAAAGAGGAAGTGGGAAAATAAAGATCTACCTGAGCAAGATAAAGACAGATTCACTTGGCATGGCTCAAATATAGACAAAAGTCGATGGCCGCAAACACCAGATGGCATCTTCAACTTATTTTTTGATGATGACGTGATCAACATGATTGTTGAACAGAGTATAAGATATGCTGGTTCAAAAGGCAACCATTCGTTTTCAACTTCACCACAAGAAATTAGGATCTTCCTAGCAATTCTGCTTATATCAGGCTATAACACTGTGCCAAGACGGAGACAGTTCTGGAGCCGGGATGATGACGTAAGGAATGAGGCAATAGCTCGTACAATGCCGCGAGACAGATTCGACATATTGGTGCGATATGTACACCTTTGCGATAACAACAATCTTGACAGAGAGGACAAGTTAAGCAAAGTAAGACCACTGCTATGTCTGCTGAATGAGCGCTTCTTGTTATACTTCTTTAAAGAGAAAAACCTTTCAATCGACGAAAGCATGATCCCGTACTATGGGCGACACGGAGCGAAACAGTTTATTCGTGGGAAACCAATTAGGTTCGGTTATAAGATGTGGGCGTTAACGACAGCACTTGGATATGTTTTACAATTTGAGCCCTATCAAGGGGCAAAAGGCCACCAAACCCATGATCCTGGCTTCCTTGGAATGGGCGGAGCAGTAGTTATGGACCTGCTTTCAGAGCTGCAGAAAGATGATGCATACCAGCTGACTTTTGATAATCTATTTACTTCCCTGAAGCTCGTGGACCGGCTTACAGATATGGGAATATCTTGCACAGGAACCATCCGTGCCAACCGAATAGAAGATTGTCCTGTCAAAAATGTAAAAGACATGGGAAGAACGCAACGAGGAAACTATGATAAAAGGTATGACGCACACAAAGGTCTGATAGTGGTGAGGTGGAATGACAACAATATAGTGAATGTGGTGTCAAATTGCCATGGAGTTGAACCATTGCAACAAGCAACACGGTGGTCAAAGCAGGCAAAAGCTAGGGTGCGCCTTCCGCAGCCATACCTTATAAAGCATTACAACCAGACAATGGGAGGTGTGGACAGGATGGATCAAAATGTTGAGAAGTATCGTATCTCTATCAGATCCAAGAAGTGGTGGTGGCCAGTGTTTATGTATTGCATTGACCTTGCGGTGCAGCAAACCTGGCACATTTACCGTGCTACTGATGCAGGATTGAGGCAACCATTAGATCTGTTAGGTGTCAGACGAGCTCTGGTTACTGTACTGCTTGCTCAGGGGCGTACACCTGCTGTCAGCCCTGGCAGACCAAGAGGTAGGATGAGGCCATTGTCAAGAAGAATTCCAGACCATATCCGACTTGATGGTAAAAATCATTACGCAGAGCCAGCAAAAGAAGTGCGCCGTTCATTGTGTGGAAAAAAATGCAGGACACAATGTTCCAAATGTAATGTTGGAGTGCACAGGAAATGCTTTGAAATGTTTCACAGTGTTTAGGTATTCATACGATCAAAGCCAAAAGACATGAACAATAATAACTCATATTCAGAATGAATTTCAGAGTGAACACTTCTGTGCCTAATGTCTACTTTTTTAGGAAAAGTAATAGAAAACATTGCCTGTATAAACTTTAAGGATTTTTTCAAGTAAAAGTTATCAAATAAACCAACAATAGGTTATCTGGACATATATTCTATATGTGTTTTACATATACCCATTTGCGCCTGTTGTCTACTTTTGTAGACAAAATATTAAAACACTAAAATAAAAAATACAGTACTTATATTTGAAAAATAAACGGATATATATTATAACTATATGGTTACTTTATGTTTTATACATTTCTGATATAAAAATAAAATTCCGGCACAAATGGGTTAATTTTGTTTGCAATAATTGATATCGATATCTTTATTTTGACCTTTAAATGAGTGATTTCGTTCCCATTTTGAGATTCGTAACTTTTTTTCTCCATTCTAAATCGTGCTTACAAACGTATTTTATTCAACATCCATCTGCACGGTATGGCTACTTCATAAAGAGCATGCTTCTACCATCAGTCAGCTTATTGACAAAATAAGAATTTCCGCATCAACATAGATAATAGATATATAAACATCAAATAAAAAAGACTATTTTATAAAACAAAACTGATCAGTTTTGAATAACAGTTGCAATTTTGATTGTAAATTTCAATACTTTATACCTTATTATTTGCATTTAAAATGAAGCAATTTCAACAGAATTCATTCATATTTCATTATAACATAAGCTTATTATGTCAACTTGCATTTAGTGGTCATCTGATTATAACGGTTATTTTAGCTCAATCAACTTGCTGACAACTAAAGGCAGGTGAGAATATACAATCAAAATGTGTTATACATGTTGTATTTGATTGATTTTTAAAAATGTATTCAATAAAGGGTATTTTTTTTTCTTTAAGCATATTAAATGTTTCTAGTGCAAATGATAAAAAAACAATAAACTAATTTAAAAAAAAGATCGGATAAGATAAAGTGAAAGAAGCTCGTAAAAAGTAAATGTAAGTTAAAGGATCATTGTTAGAATAGACAAATATTCTCTCTTTTTAAAAGCTTGTACATTGATGAATTTTATTTCTTTGACGCTTATTTTTGTTTTTCGTATTCCTGTTTTCAGATATACGAGTATCTGGATTAGATTATTCAAATGGCAGAAAATGTTTAGCTTTTGATAAAAATCAAGGAGCTTCTTGGCAAACGTGTGAGCTACCAAATAAGGGTATCTGCAAAACGAAAAGTAATAAAACAGTTTACAGTACCATTTTAATTGATACAAACAGTAAAATCGTAATGGAACTGATTGAAATCGTTCTGCTATTTATGAATGTCTACATATTATACATTTTTATCATTTTCATTATTTTTATAATGTTTTTGATACATAATGTTTGCATATTAAAATACATTTTTTTAAGATTCCTTGTCTGAATTTCTAACTATATTTGTGTATTTCAAATTAGACATGTATTGAATATATTGTATTTCGTAACTGATACCTAAAGCTCTGTATGTGTGTAGAAAGAAATATGTAAATTAAAAAGTAAAAATGATCACAATGCGTCCTGCAATTATACATACACTTATTGTAATCATATAAATTGATAACTTGTGTATTTCGCAGCAATTCTAAACACAAGAAGTTCATATCGCAATATTTTTTACAATACTTATGGAAGACAATGACTTATTTCCATTGACATCGTGTATACGTACATGACGATAAGACATAATTTATTTAAATAGCAAAACCATGTTAGAATATATAAGTTTATATTTTGTTTCAGTGGAACATAAAAAAAAATGTCAAGAGTATTTATAAGAACATTCTATGATTAAAGCATGTTTTTTACGTTTTGCTCATAATTGATTATTAATTGGTTTCCTGAAAAACAGCAAACAGTCCTGATATTTAGATGACATTAAATGAAAGAAAAAATATACTGGAAAATGATATTTCAAAACTACATTTTAAAAGAACTAGTCGCAGAATAATATTTATCTGTTTGATAAATACTACTTTTGTAAGTAGTTTATTCAATTGTTAATTTGTTTTAGATGAACAATTCATGAAGGTTACCAGAGGAGGACAACAATGGCATCTTTCATGGGCTGAATACATTGAACAGTGTTTTATTTCCAAATGTAACCCCATCACAAACGAAGATGTGATTAACAAACCCAACCAGCTTTACGATCTTGCAGAGAGCTCAACTTGGACACGTCTTACACAGAGTATTGAACTTTATGAATATAATGGTGGGTTTTTTATGATTGCATTTAATATATTATGTTATAAAATACAATATATGTCAACATTTGTACTACATGCATCCAAAAATGTTAAATTTCCTTTGTTAAAATCAGTCACTCATTTACATATACATGTATAGCAACTTAAGGAATAAACCTAATTGAGAAAAACGTATTGTATCGCTCCGAATGACCCCCCCCCCCCCCTCTTACAATAAGAAGTAGAATTGTTATCCTACTGAAAGTTCGGATTTCAGAATAGGCATTTTGTACACACATGTGTATACAATCTGTATTGGAACTTTTTCGTTTCTTTATGTTAAAACGTACATTTTTATTTGCTATTTATGGATGTTTTGCAAAATGTTAACTATAAGTCAAAAGAATAAAATAATCGATTTACATGACAGAGTTCAACAATACTATGATACACATAACATATGGCTATATTAAAAGACAAGGTGAACACATTACTCTGAACTTTACCCAAGACGGTAGTTTAGCTAAACGAGCCCTTTTTGAAACATGTGAGTATACTTTAAAACAACTGTAGTTACTTCTGTAGTGATTTACAATTTTTATACTCTCTTTTGTATTGTACACTATATATGTAAGAAAAAAGACGATAAAAGACGATAAAAAAGCGAGACAAGATATAAAATGTACATGTGTGACTAACATAGGATAATTTGACACGAATATTTTAATTATTGTATCAGTTCATGATAATTGGAGCTTACCCTTTTATGCTCAGGCTAATGTGTATAATGGCGTTATTATTATTATTATTGTTATTACTATTTTGCAAATGAAACATTTTGATATATTTTTCTTAAGACAAGCAGTTGTTCAATTTCATTTGAAGTCGATTGTAATTGAACAAAAATGTATGTTTATCGTTCAAGTAGATGATCGCAATTGTAATGTATTACTTAATTCACTTGACTGTGTTTTGTCATCTCCTTTAAATATATGTCTTAGTAATTTAAATAACGGTATTTTTGTTATTATGCTTATATTAACGCTGCCTATTGCTATACTTTTTTGAACTGTAATGCTATGATTACATTAGATCAATCACATTAGATTGGCAAACTGATTGTATTATTTGAGTTTTGTAGTTTTGGAATGAGCCGGACACTACGGCACATTTGTTAGTTTAGTTGATAATTTAGGATTATCAAGTTATAAAACTTCATCAACAGCAACACCATCTGCTTCTACCGTGAGTCCAGCTGAGACTAGAACTGAAGAGAGCAATCCCAAAGAAGCTAAACAAATATATCAAAGTAAGTTTCAGTCTTATGACTACCGTACTAGAGGCAGAATCAATATTTTGACGTGCTCTAAAATCAGCATAGACAGTGACTAAACTTTACTCTCGAAAAATGAAAAAACAAAAACAAAAAAAACAACATCAAACAAACAAACAAAAAACGAGAACGTATACGTGTTTTAGTAATGAATGCTTTGCAGGAACATGACATAAATAAACATAAATGACATAAATGAAATTATAAATTCAAAATTCGTGTCATTTAACTTTATTCATGGATAACCGCCGCTTAGCATTGACTCAATTATAAATCAACATTTAATTTTGATTATTTTAATTAAAGAGTCGTCAGTGACCGTGTTACTGCGGCACTGTGTCTGTGTGTTACGGCAGTGGTAATTGAAAATTTATTTTGTGTTAATATACTATTTTATTATTCTAAAAAAAAATTCATCGCAAAGAAAATTTCCTAAATTGGATATTACCAAATTAAAATAGTGTAAGGAGTACATATTAAGAGTTCATAAACAACAAGGCAATTTTCAATATAGGTCTGCATGTACCCAATTATATTTTCATTATGAAAATATAAACACAATTTAAGTAATGGAACATAGGGGTTTGAACTTAAATAAATAACAGAGATGCCAATATGCGATTGAACAAGTATACAATTATACAAGTAAGTTATCGTACAATCTTACTTAATTAAAAGTCTTATCTTATTCAAATCAGAACAGATTAATTTTATGTCATTTGTACTTCTTCAGATGTTGGAGTGTCTGTGGGAATTTCGGTTACTGTTATAAGTGTCGTCGCAAGCATTATAATCATTGTGATATTAAAGAGACGGTAGTATACTTTTATAATTACATTGATGTTGGAAGTACTTATATTTCTATAAACTGATATATTCTCAAAAGTTTCATTTAAGTTTACATCTCTTTTTTTTCGTTTTGGTAAATCCATTATAATTTTATTTATTTTAACGTAAACGTGTCATCAAATCTAATTTGAAATGCGATGTTTGTCTATTTTTAAAATGTCTTAACACAAGCTCTTAAATATGAGTGTGTAGTTTTAAATATGGAGAAAATTTCACATAAGCAAAACCAAAATAGTTATGAAATAGAAAACATGCTTTTTGTAACAAATACTTTGTTGTTTTGGGTTTTTTTTCAGGGGGAAAATTCAAATGAAGTGTTTGAGAAAAGCCGAATCTAAATGTTCTGCATATATTTCCAAGGAATTACATCCCGACTTTAAAAATGATAAGTATGCCTACGAAATGTCTTTATGTTCTCCTTATGATCAAATTGATGATTTAGGACTACCATCAGAACGTTGCTCTGATAATGAAGGAACTGATAATGTCATAAGCGGACACACCTACCTTACCTTTGAAAAACATACATGGGAATCAAATACCGATGATAACATTGGGAAAAACACGAAAACAGAAACAAGCAATGTTTATAACACACTGAACTCAATTGGAAACAACAATGGGAGCAATGAATCAGGAAAAACGAAAAACGTACGAAACTCCTGAGAAAGTAGCCATGAAATCGAAAGCTCAGCACGATAAGAATATATGTGACGATGCGACAGAAAACACATATAATCATACGGGTAGTAGACCAGTTAAGACAGGCAAAACTGACAACGTATATGGTGTTCTTAACAATGATTAAGGTGAATACGGTGATGTTGATACAAGAAATGAAAAGTGCCAGTTTAATGGAGGAGACACGTACAGTCATATCATGAAGAAATATTGAACGATTGTAGTGAAATACTACGACTAATTCAAACTTAAAGTCTGACAAAATAACATATAATAATTGAGTATCTATTTTTTTCGATATACTTTTAATGATCAAATGGTTTTTGATTCAATTATATTTAATGGATTGCATATTTTATGTGTAATACGATTGTTGCGGTTTATGCATTTATTTTGCTTATACATCAACTGGTACTTTTGAAGTATTTCTACAGGCACCTAATTTTCTTAATATAAATGATATTTATCAAAACAAATTCAATATTCGGATTAAATCTTGTGTATCGTAAATATAATTAATAGATATATCTTTGAAATGAGGTGGATCCATATGACATTGAAAATATCTAATATAAGGAAAATAATAGTGTAACAAATGTTTCAAATGTAGCAACGACCATAACGATTCTGCTATAATAATTGTTAATTAATTCGAATCTTGAAATTTTATAGATGTTTTTTTGTTATATTGTTATTTTACATAAAATATCTTAAAAACTATTAAACTTTGTTTGATTGTTATTTTATGTCTTAAATCTTTAAAATTGTTTGCTAACCTTTATTGTTGTTTAAATCTAAAATCTTTAAGATTGTTTGTGTTGCTCTTATTGCATAATTGTATAAATCTTTAAAATTGTTTGTTTTATTGTTATTCTATATCTGAAATCTTAAAAATTGATTTATTGTTATTGTATACATAAAAAATCTTATGAATTTTTTATTTTATAGAACTTTATTGTCTAAATGTACAGTTTCCAAGCAATTTCATGACATATCTAAATTTAGATGAAAATTTCATTTTCATGCTTCTAATGCAACTTGCAGATCAATGTTGTGATTACTTAAAAGTATGTTATCAAAGCAAAATAAAGCTTTTCACTCCATGTAATTAATTTACAAAAAGATATAAATGAATGGGCTTTTTATATATAATCTATTCCTTTGAATCATATAATCTATTCCTTTGAATCTAAGTAAATATCAAGTGACGACTAGAATACATAATATTAAATAAACAAAAATAGTTCGTTTATAAGTTCATACCGAAATTGCTTATATGCTGACTTAAACGATATGTACAAGGAAACACTATTTGTTATTCCAAACTGTAAAACAAAAAATGTGTAGCCAATTTATAATATAGTGAATGTAACAACCTTGTCTTAGTTACTTTCTTTGAACGCAATTGGATAACAATCTAATGCTTTATTAAATGCAATGCATCAATTGTATTATGTTATATAGAAAAAACAACTCAAATTGAACTTCATGTGACTGTTTCTGACTTATTTTATAATAACACAAAACATTAAAGACAGTATGACCGCACCATAAAAAGACAGTTGCACTTATGAAATATCCCTCATGAACATACTCAGTCAAACAATTTCTGCAATTTTCATGTCATTTTGTTATTTTCATTATTTTTATGGGATCCCTGTTTTCGGATTGTTTTCCACCAGTAACGCATTTTATAATAGCACGTTGTTGATATTGACTGAGGTTCCTCAGTCTATGTAGGGAGACACAGGCAACATTTTCGTTTCTTCGTTTTGAATGTTTCATTTAATATTCTGTAAATATCCTGCAAATGAATACACTAGGCAGTCGCAGGAACACAACTTTCCTCCTTATAAAGAATAAAATGGTGGTATCCTAATTTGACCCGCGTGGGTCAGGTTAGAGCGTTAATATTTAACAATAGTTGTCACAGTGAACTCTGGAAACGTTGAATAACAAGCAAAATGACTGGCTTAGACTTGTTTCAATCATGCAATATCCATATGTTTTTTTTTAATTTAAGGTTTTGTTCAATTCACATAACTTGTTTTAAATTTACTCAGTGATTCTGTCGGCGCCTGGACTTCGTTCAACATATATATAGATATATATATACGCTTCCAACCAAACATATATAGAATTTATACAGAAATGTATTATTGGACTTAACAAATATGTCATTTTAGCGTGATTTGAGTACATAAGATGATTTTAATATTTTTGTCATTAATTTTAATTTTAAAAGTATCCCTTTATCAAGTGTGGAAACGAAATATATAATTGCATTCAGATATGTAAATGGTATGTTACAGACAGGCGGTCGATTCTGCATCGTATTCATACTTAAAGGTTTGCCCAGTTACTGTAGTAAGGGTATTGTTGACATCTTGGTCGAAGTATAATGTGTGATATTACCAAAACGCTAGAAGAAGTTATTAAAGCTAATAGATGTAAACAAATACAATTCTAAGCTATGGCATTTTTAAAACACTAAATGTTGTTTTGCTTTGACATAATTTTTGTTGCTCTGTCCATTATGTCTCAGAAACAAGTCCAATTAAACCGAATCAACTTTCAGAAACAATTTAATTTGCAAAAAAGTGTTCATGAAATTGAAACCGAATGTTCTAATATTGGGAATATACATTGACCCGATGCTCATACTGGCAATCTAAGACATACTACAAACAATCTTGCGGCGATCCTGTGCTGTAGCATTCTGAATTGATGTAACGTGTGACGCTCAAATTTGCATATTCTTATAGGCTTCTTTATCGTAATCTATCAGTCATTGCACCGACGTTTTGACAAATTGGTCTAGATTTTTCTGTTTTCTCTGTCGTGTTTTATTGCTATTACCGTCTCTATTGGAGTCTTCATGCTCCGATTTTAAACCTTCTTGATGTAACATATTTTCAGTGAAGATGTATCCATGTTTTGTCAAAGGGATTTATTTTGTATACTACACTATCCGAGTCAGTTCAAGAATGGGTGTAAATCATAATTATTAATATAATACTTCATCAGAGCTTGAAGAATTTATAGATATTAAGCACTTGTATTCAATACGATAGTGATATACTCAACACTGTGCGGAGGGCGGTTGCTAATGTTGTTATAACTTGTGGCCCGACCCATTTGCTCTATATCTTTTTGTGAATATTTGTTGTTGTATTATACACGTAACGTTACATGTATTTATGTAAATAATAGTTGCAATAAGATATAATTAAACTAATACCATAGTGACTGCGTTAAAATGAAACATGCTTGTCTTTTATCGCATTATGACATGTGTTACGCTTATTGTGTCTTACATCTTGAATCTGGTGTTCCGAAGATATAAATATTAAGATTCTTTAGAAAATAGAGATGATAAAGCGCTCTGCAATTATATATTAAAATGACATAACTACATGACATATACTACTATTCTGTTTAATATAATTTAAGTATGTAACCTGATAAAACCCCTTCAAAATGTAATTTGTAGAGAGACCTGTGTTAATAATTCGAATTCTATGAATTCATAAAGTTAGAAAAATAAGAAAACAACGTTAAGAAAGTCAATAAATATCGTAGAATAAGTGTCTTTATAGTGTCACTTTTTAAAAATTTTAAAGAAACAAATGAATTATATTCACTTTGTCAATAATCATTATCGTAAATAACTAAAACATCCATAAAACATTCATAAAAAAGACACAGATATACAATTAACTAACTGACAGGATGTAATCGCAGATTAATTTGTAACTGATTATTTAGACAATCATTTCCTTGAACAGTTGCATATAAACACAGGAGGAGCAGCCTGATTCCATTCTGATACTCTTTTAACAAGATGAGAACGCTTGAAGCGAAACATTTCTTAAAGCACCGATATAAAAACTAAGATTAATCCAAATCCTATACTATACTGAATATAAAGGTTAATATTCTGCATGTACCTGCCAATAGTTACATACACATAATTGAAGCAGCCGATGTAGTTTGACTTTATCCCTATAAGCGAATTCGACAAGTTAAAGCCGGTGCGTGTAATATGTTTATAACGTTGTGTGCAAATTGTTTCTTAACATTGTTATTCATGTCATTTTTTATATTAATAAATCGTTATGTTTTATTTGGATCAAGAATGTCATATGTGTCAGTTTCCTTTGCAACCGGATCGATACTGCAATAAGTATTTATGTTATCTAAATGGAGGTCTTGCCTTGCGTCTACATTCACATAGTAATTTAGTTCACCAATGCGTTCATTACCGGCCTCTTGAAAGTTTTCGTAAGCGGCATTGGTTTCACTTGGAAGTTGATCAGGAGTTCTTCTAAAACAAATACTTAATGCAGAACATTTGATTCCCGTACTTGGAATCTTTCCTCTGAAAAAATAAAATTTCATTTTTCAACTTGAAATAGAAATCGTTTTAATGTGTTTATGCATTATTTTGTTAAAAAAATCTAGCATCATTGCAAAAAGGAAATGTTAACAAAGTTATTGCTCGTTTTCAAAACTAAAATATAATTCCTTATAAAACATATTTCCTAACATTACTTTATTTAAAATACATGTATCCATTCAAGAGTATTTTTTACCTTTTTCGTAACATCAAAATCACAATAACGATTACTGCCACTAAGATTACAATTGTAACTGTTACACTTATAGGAATAATGACGTCATAACCTGGAACGTGAATTACACTTTCATTACATAAACAACGGCGCAGGATTTGATAAAGCCATAAAAGCATAATACTTGAATAGTACTCATAGTACTATTCAAATGTTATGTCCTTTATTTTCTCAAAAATTCAATATTCCATCAATGGTTAATTCTAAATCGAATTAAGAGTGCAAAGATGCATTTTGGGATACATGATATAACAACAACACTGGCACTGAAACTTCGTATCACCTATTCATCAAAAAACACACATTTACAAACTTTACTGCAGATGATCCAATTAAAATGCATTCAAGTTCAAATATTGTTTACACTGGTTTTTCTTTGGAGATTTTGTCCGATTAATTGAATCTGTTTTAGGTGTTTAACATTGTAAAAACTTATATTTGTATTATAGTTTGGAGGCTTTACTGTTGAAAACGTGTCAGAGTTAAATGGTATATTAACACATGCACATTGCGTTAACTGGTATGCAGGTAAAACGCACTCACTGTCTCTCTAAAGCATGTTCGTTGATTGACTTTTTTTTTTTTTTTTTTTTTTGAGACGACAGAAAAAGATATATCAATAGAAAGATCATATTCAGATACTCGTATATTGGTTATTTTTTCTGGTGTTAAATTATGCAACGACAGCTAGAATGTTTTTTATATTTGGCTATAATACAAAAGGGAAAGAACATCAAAACACACGGCAATCAGATTTATACACGGTGGCTACGCCTCCTCGTACAAATCAGATAGCTTTGTATTTTGAAAATCCTCGTATTCGCAACAGCACTTCGTAGTAGGGTCACATATGTATTGATCTATTAATTTCACGCTGATTCGTATAATAAATGATTTACAAGAAACGAAAGATATATTGCAGATATAAACAGTCTACTAATAAATATATTATGTAAACTATATAATGTAAATATTACTGTAGCAAACATAAGTATCATTAGAAAATATGTTTACATTACGCAGATCAATAAACATGACTTTGTATCAAACAAATATGATGTGGCAATGATTTAAGAAAAGTGTATTTATTTAAACTTTCACTTACTGTCAGGTGAACTAATCAGATTATTTACTGTACCGTCTGTACTGCTTATGAATGTATCGTTGTAAATTAGAAATGCGGATGTTTTTTGAACACCTGTTGCTTCAGACAAAGATGTACCGTCTCCTGTTGGTAAGGTATTAACATCTTCTGGTTTCGTCGCTATGTCAGCAAGAAAAATATATTCTTTATCTTGCAAAATATCACACTACTTATGAAAGTGCCGAGTAACATTGATAGATAATTTTAAGACATTAACTCCTTCTATATTTTATTTCTAAGTCGTCTATACGTTTGTGACGAGAGATACTTCCCTTTTTAACAACAATTCGTTAAAATGCACTTTGTGTTGTTAAATAATTTGTGTACATTTTGTGTTTCAAGCAATTCATCTAATACTTTTTTTATCTATGTATACACATACTGATATATGAACCCATGTTTGTATTGAATAATAAGAGAAATAAAAAGTCAAAAGTCAAAAAAAATCCGCATATTAAAATAATATTTTGATTGCTGAATAATCTATCTATTGTTTGTACTCTAGCAATTAAGATGTTCCCTTACATGCGTTCTGTTGGGCGTAATCATCAACAACTTTATCATCACCATCATCAACATATACATAATAATAATAACCACCAGCATTATAGTGATATTAAACAAGTGTTCTAACAAAAACAAATGTTGCTGAAATGCAGCAACTGAGAAGCTCCGCGCAAGAACTAATTACAGATACCATACAAAATCATTCCTAAACAAAAGTCAATTTGTATTTAGATTAAGGTATGACGTACCTTATGTATTACCTCCGCTATGAAGAGTATTTATATAGGCTATAACTACTATTCTCAAATTCCTAATTGGGTCTTATAATATAAATAAAACTTGAAACTTGTTAACATAATTTAAACTTAGGGCAATGGGTTCAAACACCAGAAGAGTCAACTTCTTTCTTTCTTTTCTTTTAACAGTATTTAATTATATATGTATCTCTAATATCTCTTTTTCGAAGAAAAATATATCTTATTACAATTATTTGATTAATATAGTTAATTATTTACTAATTAATGCTAAATCTAATGGCAAATATGGTACATGATATTTTCGGGGTGGTTCGTGGCCGAGTGGTTAAGGTCGCTGACTTCAAACCACTTGCCCCTCACCCTATCATAATCAATTCATTGTCCTATACTTTACCTATATTATGTTATAATGGCTATTTGCTATATGTAGTTTAATGAATTGACTCATTTTGCGGTATTTATCACCATATTCCTACTATGTGACTAGCACAGTAAGAGTTAGTTTTCATATATTGATCTTTTTCTGGTAATTTGCGCGGATTTAAGTGCCATTTTTAGTGTGTAAATGACTGTCTTAGTTGACAACATTAGCTGAAATCTAGAGACATGCTGCTTTTATAAAAAAGACAAAAAAAAATGACAAACTTAAAATTAACATTCAAATGTAGGAAAATGTATAAATTAAGAGTGATTCAATAAATAAGTAGCCATTAACTAAAAATTCACTTACTTGTTTGAAGGAGGTACCGCTTCTATCATTACTGCTCTTCG